GATTACTATTGGGTTGTCGGAAAAGTCATGACGCATTTTTTCTATGTTTTTCGTTGTAAAAATGCGTCATGACTTTTCTGACTACCCAATTTTATGTCACGCCCTTGACCCCTAGGGAGAGTTGCTATAAGAACAATAACAATAATACAGAGTTGGCATGATAATCATTACAATAAAAACAACAGGGATGCCAGCAAGTTCCTTTCTGATTATTATCAGGCCACACTTGCCTAATTAGTCACCCTATATTGAACAAAATTCTGCATAAACATTTCTTACCCCTTCCTCGCACTCCCCTCCCCAACAAAGACCCATTGTCCTAATTATCTAAAGGTTATTTTATTGAGTGGGCACTGGTTCTTGTTTTATTGTTCACTTTCTGAACTCTTCCACCAGTTTTCTTTGGGTAAAAGTGTCATTTATCGTGTGTAAATGAATAGCACCTGCTCTGTTTATTTGACTTTATATTATGTATTATGAGTGGGTAGACATTGTTTTGTACATTGTAGGACTGTGAAAATGACCACACAGGGTGAAACCATGCAAAATGATCTTAATCAATGGGGAAGACCTTTAAAAATTGGGCAAAACATTAAGAACTCTCTTCTGACTTTTGGCTATAAATGTGTAAGGCAGTGCATTTGGCTGTAAAACAGCTTTCTTGCTTTTCTCCCTGCTTCCAAACTGTCTCCTTAGTCCAGCCTTTCATTCACCATTTTATGAGGACACTACAGTTTGTTTACCCATTTTTTATTTTTATTTTTTTTTTTTTAAGCTGAGCCATCCTGCTACCTGTTGGCAGCTCAGCGGCTGCTCAGCTCGGGCTGGACTCGAACCGCTGTTGCTCAGAGCTCACACTCTTGAGCGAGCTCTTAACCAACTGAGCCACTCGGCCGGCCCCGTTTACCCATTTTTATGTTAATGAATTTTGAGATTTTTTTTCCAGGTTTAATTTCTGTTGTTGTAAATGGCGCTTCATTCAACACGCTTGTACGTGAGTTTCTCTAGGGAATATATACCTGGAAGTACAGGTTCTGGCCATCAGGCAGATCACTTTAAACATGACTTAAACAAAATAGGTATTTTGAAATTGCTTTTTTAAGTGTCATTTTTTTCTTCTTCATGTTTTGATCAATTTTCGTAATATTTTAAAGTCCACATTTTTGGGGCAGCAATCATCTCATTGAAAGTTTTGATGATTTTTTAATCTTGTTGGCAGAAATGAACTATTTCAAATTGTATGAAATTAATCTGGGTTGGGGTCAGCAGACTATTAAATTCTTAACATCATCGATAGATACTGAGACTTCAAGTAAAATGAAGTATAATGAACCCAGTCTTACCGTAGGCTAACTGATATAAACAAAAGTTCAGTTCCTAGGGTGTTTCATCAACGTTATGAAAAAAGGACATTGAATGACATGACCTTATTCATTATTTGAGGACCTGCTGTACAGCCTTTGGACCACATCTAGCCTGCAGCTTGTTGTAATCCAGCCCTCTAGTCAAGCATTTTACACTTTTAATGGGATGTAAAGGAGGAGGGGGAGGCTCAGCCTCTGGATGTGAATCCGCTGAGCCGGTACAGACATCCATCAACATCGCTTCCCGCCAAGGAGGACGAAAAGGAGAATTCCTTTTCTGACAAACTATATTATTCCAGAAATTTCCTTTCTGCTTTCTGTTAGACCTGACCATTTTCTTTCTGGTAGCGTCTGCTTTTCTGTTCCAGTTTATTAGCTCCTCCCATGTAGCTGGGGACTGAGATTGCCCCCTCCGTCCTCCAGGACTCAGGAATCATTCTGCCTTTACCCTCCCCACAGCTGCCTTCGCGCAACCCCCTG